GATCTCTGGACTGTAGGGTTACAGTGTGACCCAGACTGGACCGGTGATCTCTGGACTGTAGGTCTGCACTGATACGTAGGGTCTCTTCTCACTGTGTCAGTTTACAGATCGGTGAATGTATCCACACTAAATACCTGGCACTGGCTACTAAGTACTTTCCAGACTGACATACACTCTTCCTGTATCCCCTGTAGGACAAGTCCGGCTCTGCGCAGAACAAGGTAGAGGACATTATTCTGTCTTTCTGATGCTTGGTGCATGGTTTTTCAGAGGAAGCTCTTGTGAGTTCAGGCTCGTATTGAAAGATAGGGAGACAGTGGAATGGTCCTGACCTAAATTTGAATAGCGCTCTTCCAAATATTCCAAATACTCTCCATTCATCCTCGTTTTTAACCCTTCTCCCTCTGTCTTACCACCCACCTCTGTCTCTCAGGTGGTGGAGACTCAGGAGGCGGTCTGCCCCCTGCTGGACACAGTGGAGCATCGCGAGGGCTGTGTCTTCATCCCTGGAAACCACACCCTCACCTCCCTCACCCTGTCAGGTGAGAGATGTGGTCGAGGGCAGTATGTCTGTATGGGAGGAGAAGGGGGCTTCTTAATACTGAAACGGGTCTAAGGGATGGGTGCTGCAATCCAACATTCACTCATTACTTTTTTCAAGCAGCAGCAAACTGCAGTGTACACTAACTACCTCTTCTCCTGATTCTTTCTGTCCATTTCTCCCTGGACCCCTCATTCCCTGTCCTCCTTCTCCCCAGGGAATCGGCTGACGGAGTCGTGTCTGCCGGCGTTCCTCTCTGCTCTGGCCAGTCAGGGAGAAGCAGGGAGCACAGGGGGAACTGGTCTGCTCCGGCTGTCTCTCACGGTCAGTCTGTCTGTCTCTGTGTCTGCATGTTCATCTGATGTGAGACACGGTCTGTGGCAGTCCGTCTGTCCCTGTGTCTGCGTGTTCAGCCTGTGTGTCTGTGCCCTGAGCCCGCAGTCCCAGGCCTCTGTGTCTCGTCTGTGTCTGCGTGCGGATCTGACCTGCCATCTGTCTGTTCACAAAACCAGAGCAAAAGCTGAACACTTTGACTTCAATGTCTCAGAAAAATATCTATCTCCCTGTCTATGAACTGTTTTTCTTCATTTTACAGAGAAACCACTTCTCCCCAGACTGCGAGCCCTTCCTGAAGATACAGGAAGTGATGTCGATCAGAGATCCGCTCAACAAGAGCGTCCCCCAGCTGCCAGAGGAAGAGCAAGCCCAGCCAGTGTAGCATTTCCGGAGGGACACATTTACAGGGTGTGCAGCCCTGCCTCCTCTAACTTCACAAAGTCACGGTGTTCCCATAATAAGTCTAATAACTTCTCAGCTTGTGAGAGGCAGTACTACTTTTTATTTCTACAGAGAAGCTATTTAGAATAAGCTGTTTTCACAGTAAAAACTGTTTTATTGACTCTTTACTTGGTAAACTCAGATACAGGCTTACACTTTGTGATATTTTGCGCTGTGAAATGTGATGTAAGAAGCTGCAGGAATAGAAGGTTTAAAAGGTGCTGCCCAACAGGAATCATTGTAATTAAACTATACAATTGAAGACAGTACGGTGTGTTGGGCCTGCAGTCTGTAAATAATAATAATAATAATAATAATAATAATAATAATAATAAAAACAGTAGAATTACAGTCACAACAAAGTATACAGCAGGAAAGCAGATTTGGACACAGATACAAAACCACTGAAATAAAAGCCCTTCTAAGAAAGAAGTATACAACTGGCTCGCTACTCAGGGCAGACACACGCAACTGTTCACATCACCCCTGTCCTGGGGGTCCTGCACAGGCTTCCAGTTGGTTTAAAATCTTTTCGGGTTCATGGCCATGCGCAGAACAGCACCGCAGTATCTATCTCTCAACCCCCCCTCCCCAGGCCTGACTGTGCTGATTGGGGGTGTCCTGTGTGCCCCCGGTTCTGTAACACCTCTTCACATGCAATCAGGGATCTGGCCTGGAAACGTGCCTTTCGGAAATCTGGTTCGGGGCTTATCTTCCGGATCGGATCGGACTTCTAGTTTCGCCATTTTCTAGTGCACTGTGGTTTTACAGATTGGAGATGACGGGTTCCGAGGGCGCTGTATGAAACCAGGCTGGCCGCCCTCCTCCCCTCTCGGCTTGAAGATCGAGCTCGAAAAAACAAACGGCTCGGCGCAAACTCGCTTGTTAGGGGGCGGGGGGGTATTTCCTCTGCGTTTCCGTTGGCCAGAGCGCCCGTCAGTCAAGCCGCATGGTCGGCTCGTCTCGGATGGCGATTGGCCGAGGGAGGGGGTGGGCGGGGCGTCGCGTGTTTGTTGATTGCGAGAGAGAGCGAGGACACGGGCATAGGGAAGTGAGTGGAGCAGGAAGGACGGCGGGGACGGTACGAGATAACAAAGCCCTGAACAACAACAACCACCACAGCCAGAAGTCGGGGAGAATAACGGGGTGTTTTAATGCCTGCGCCTGGCCCGGCCCTGCAAAGCGCAGCCGTGCGGGTCGCTGGCGCTCCGCGGCCCCTGTCCGGACTCCTGCAGACTCGCCGCGCCGTGCCCACCACGCCCCCCCAGCGGCGCTGGCGCGGGGGTGTCCTGGCTGCAGCCCGGAGCATGGCCTGTGCCCCCGCTCGGCGGCGCGGGTCCCGGAGCGGCCACAGAGAGCGCGGGTGAGCCGACAGCCCTGCCCTGCAGACCGCTGTCCTTATTGTTATTACTGTTGCCATTACTGCACGGCCAGCTGCTCGCTGTGTGCACACGGACAGGCTGGGGACACGCTGTAGAGCAGAAGGGAGAGATCCGCCACTTCCACCACGCGTGCGGGGCGTCTCTCCTTTCTGCCCACAGCGGTAGCCCACGCGTGAACGGCGCCGCTTGTGCTGGTCGCGGCGGCGCGCAGGCTCCGTTTCGTGCACGTTTTTGCACTGATTCCTATTAAGCGCAACAAGCAGCTTGTTAGACTGCAACACGTGTCGGCGGTGCCTGCCCCCGAGCTGTGATTAATCGGTTCGTGTTTGTTCGTGTTGGTCCAGTTTGTAGGCTGCAATGGAAGACTGACCCTCCTGGCCAATCACCTTACAGCTGGTCCCAGCATTTCCACCAATCCCCACCCGGCCTCCGCCTTCCTCTGCTCCACCAGTCAGGGGCCACGTGTTCTCTGGAGGACCAATGAACTCGTGTCGTGCCTCCTTAGACCCGCCCACTCCGGCACGCCCTGGGCCCTGCCAGTCCGTCATGACCGGCGCCTCCTGCCAGCCGGTGGCCAAGGAGCCTCTGTCTCGCTCTCCCATCCCCAGCACCGCCTTCTCCTGCCAGGCCCTGTTTGGGAACAGGCTCCCCTCCTCTGATGCAGTCTCCAGCCTTTCTGTGTCCTCCTCCTCTCTCCCTGCCTTTCTGTCCTCCCCTCCCTCTGTCTCTCTTCCTCCTCTCTCCCCTCCCTCTGTCTCTCCTCCTCCTCTCTCCCCTCCCCCTGTCTCTCCTCCTCCTCCTCTCTCCTCTCCCTCTCTCTACTCTCCCTCTGTTTCTCCTCCTCCTCTCTCCCCTCCCTCTGTCTCTCCTCCCCCTCTCTCCTCCTCTCTCTACTCTCCCTCTGTTTCTCCTCCTCCTGTCTCCCCTCCTGTCTCCTCTCCCTTTGTTTCTCCTCTCTCCTCTCCCTCTGTCCCTCCTCCTCCCGTCTCCTCTCCCCCCCGTCTCCCCTCCTCCTTCGCCCTTTCGGTGCCCCCCTCCCTCTCCTCGGAGGGCGGCGTGCCCATCATCGAGTGGCAGCACCTGGACAAGCGGCGCTTCTACGCGCTGGGCGTGGCCATGGCGCTGCTGGTGCGGGCGGCGGTGTACCCGCTGGCGCTGATCCGCACGCGGCTGCAGGTGCAGCGCGGCTCCGCCCTGTACGCGGGCACGGCGGACGCCTTCGTGAAGATCGTGCGGCGGGAGGGCCCCGGCGGCCTGTACCGCGGCTTCCTGCCCAACTCGCTGACGCTGCTGGCGGGGCAGGGCTACGTCACGGCCTACGAGCTGACGCGCCAGCTGGCGGGCCGCCACACGGGCAGCAACGCGCTCAAGTCGCTGCTGGCGGGCGCGGCCGCCTCGCTGGTCTCGCAGACGCTGACCGTGCCCATCGACGTCGTCTCCCAGCACCTGATGATGCAGGGCCAGGGGCCGGCAGCAGGGGGCGCCGGTGGG